TGTGTATTTAATTGTTTTTGTTTACGGGAGTAACGTGAAAGCGTATATAATAATGTGAATTAGTGTAACGTTGTAACTTTCATAATTCGTTTGAGTTCATTTTTTAGTTTTTATTTTTTACTAGTATAGATAGGTTTGATTAGACATGTCGCAAAAGTAAAAGAACAAGAGAGTAAAATAATTAAAATAAGAGTGTTTACATTGGAAAAATGGTCATGTGAGATTGTCCTTAAATTACTAAAAAAGAAAGGGGCACTGAAAATAATTTACTTCAGAATTTTTTTGATAATATTTACTGGCTGAGACTTGATAGATGAGTTGAGAGATAAGAATCAGTAAGAGATTCTTTGACCAATGGGAAATTCTTTGATGGGTCAAACGTTGTGCACAATTAAGTCAAAATAAACTCACATGTTAATCCATCTTATACAATTGATAGATTTATGTTATTACTGATAATGTTTTGGTGTTTATTATAAATCTCACAATGTCGATTTTTTGGTAACTAATATTGTCGCAACTTTTGAGAAGAAATTTTCCAACGTTTCTAAGTTTAAAGTGTCTAATCAAGTAAACTAACCGCACTTGAATTTGTGATCAAAGTCATCAAACATACTTTGTACATCAAAGTTTCTTTTGCAAATTTTTAAAGTTTATGTTAGTGTTGAAATGGACGTGACGTAGTAAAAGTGGTATAACCAAAGGATATTTTTCCTTTTATTATTACGTGTCTTTTAGTAAACAATGTAACACGAGTACCGAAAAGAGGGAGATTGTGTGCATAAGACCATATGCAAGGGGGAACTTTTGAGTGTGTTCTTAGGATTTAAAAATAGGAAATAAAGTGAACAGTGGTAGAACAGTTCTAACTTATCCTGCAAACTGTTCTTCCTGAAGAACAGTTTTTATAATTTTAAGAACAGTTGTATCCACTATTCAACATTTTTATTATTTTAAAACCCTTAAGAACACACCAAGTGTTCCCCATTGCATATGCTCTAAGAAGATGCGTTCAGATGTTGGAGTTAGATGATTAAAGCATAGTACTATTTTTGGTATAAGAAATTATATTACAGCTTAGATATTAAAAAAGATTATTATTCACTTCTTCGTTTTTTGTACGAGAGATTAATTTTTTTTTTTTTTTTTTTGAACAATACGAGAGATTAATTTTATATAAGGAAAAAAAAAAAAATGGTAAAATGGGATTAGAAGAAGTGGTGAGGTCACATGGAAACATGTGTAAGCTGAGTAGGACATGGTCAGGTCGGCTGGTGGGTCTTAATTTTTAACGCAAAGCCCCACCATTTTCACTTCATTTATGTACCCTAATAAATAATTCACGTAATCTTTTAGAAGTTTTGTTTTGGAACCAATCATTTGGAATTTACGAAAAGAATCGAGTTCAACGAAACATGTAAGAGTATTTTTGTGGGATTTTCTTCTTAAACCGTTTTTACATCATCCGTATGTTTATTTGTGACATACAATAAACGATTAGATAACGACCAGCGTAGTATATCAGTATATGAGTATATTATTATTATTGTTATTATTAAATCAAAATGTAGCATAGAAGTATATATAGAACTATGTATTATGTAATAATGTAAAGTTTTGATTTTATTGATACCTTTTGTTATTTCGGTTCGTTAAAATAATCTTGCTTAGAAAACTAACAATCATTTTTCAAAAAAAAAAAAACAAAATTACATGACAAGAATATACTTATATATATATATATATCATGCATTAAAAACAATCGGAAGCTTGAAAAAAATACTGTATTGTTGTCTAAAGTTAAAAGCGATAATATAGTTTTTTTTTGTGAATTTTTAAGAAACACATTTCATGCTTATAAATTATTTAAAAAAAGATGTATAACCTTATTTTATTTTATTAATTATTTTACAGATAGATACTAGATCATCACCCGTACTAAAGTACGGGTTAAATTTTATTTATTACAAAATTTATATAATATATATATTAGAACTAAGTTTTAATATATTATAATACAAAGTAAAAAAATATTAATTTTTTTGTCAGTCCCTATATACAATATTAGAATAAATATAGATTTTTTTTCTATAATACTCAATTATGAATAATAATTTTTTTAAGATATGAAAATAGAAAATAATTTTATTTTTTAAAAAGTAATATTTTTTGAACAATGAGTTAATTTATGTTAACAACCACAAAATAGGATTGCATATATTTTAGTTAGAATTAAAATATCATAAATGAATCGCATATAAAACATAGATTATTTTGAATTAATTAAGAAATTAGCTATTATTTTGAACTAATTTAGAAAATTCTTTTTCAATTTATAATTCTTTGGTTGTTGAAATAGAGATTTGTTTGAGCTAATCTAATTACAGAATTTGTTTGAGATTTATAATTACGGAATTTACCAATTATTTGCATAATCGAATATGTTATAAAAATATATTTAGTATATAATAATACCGAAATCAACCTGTGTGTGGAGTCTATATTTTTATTTTAGAATCTCAATATTTCATTTTAAAATATTCCGTACACATTCTATTATTCGTTAATTCTAAAATTGCTTGCGGAATCAAATTTTCAAATATTTAGAGGTGTCAAACCATATTTAAATGTTCTACACTATTTTTAAATATTCCTAATTAAAATCTTTAAATTTTTTTTGTAGTTTATAAATTTTGAATTTCAAAAAACAAATTATGTGAAATTAAATATAACTATCCAAATAGTTATAAGGATCAAAACTCATTTCATCATATAATATATTATATTTAACCCGCTACCTATTATAAATATTTTTTTAATTAATCGAATTAGAGTATTTATAATTTTTAACTTTTTGAACTATTAAGTATTGATGATATTCTCTAAAAATATCAAGTAAAACTTATTTTAAATGTTGCAAATTAAAATATTTAATTTATTATTGAAGTATATAAAATTATACATTTCAAAAAATAAATGTATTAAATCGAATATAAATATTCAAATTCTTACCCGTTGCTCAGTCGAAATTTTTGTTGAATTTATTTTTGTGTAAAAGAAATATATTACTCAAGTCTGAATTTTTGACCCGTTTAATTGTTTTCATTATAGATTGAACAATTTATATGCGTTTTTAAAAATTCAAATCTTGGCATATGCAGAAAAAAAATTACTTTTTTTTATTATATAGATGATATGATGATTTATTTGTTTCATATAAATATAATCATATAAAGATGAGAGGTGAAGTTTTATGATTAATAACAAATTAATATGGTAAGTTAGATATCAAATCTTATATATTCATTTTGATTGGTCATTTAAAAAAAATTAATAACAGATTTTCGTTTTATAATTTAATTAAATTAATTAAATGACATAAATTAGTATTTTACTTGTTTATCCTTAAGAAATTGAATAAATTTGTTCTAAAAGAAAAAATTTGTAATGGCATTCTCATGTAATTTTTTTACAAAAGAGAAGGTTAGTTAAGGGTTTCTTATAAAGTGTACTCCCCAAATAATAGTATAGGATTTATCTAACTTTTGTCCAAAAAAAGATATTTATCTAATTAATCCATGTTAGACTTTTGTAAATATCATGGATTTACAAATAGCATGAAATTTGTAGAAACAAATTAGGGTACTTTATTGTTCAAAGTTTCAAAAATCAGATATTTACATCTTGATCTACTTGTGATAGTTAATATTAGGGTTTTGTAAAACTTTCCAAGTAATTTTTTTTTGCAAGATAAATCTCCAAGTCAAATAAATGCAGGTCAATACTAGTATGATGTTAAAAGTCACCCGCAATATAACTCTCCCGTATATCGATGACGTGACACTCTTTAACTCCGTTATAAAACTTCATAGATGTCAAAATAGTTATGTCTAAAACGACATGATTGTTAGAAAATCGTGTTGTTTTACAAACAAAAAAATGGAAAAGAAGAATCTCCAAATTTAAGATGAAAAAAAGAAGAAGATCGATTCCACTCAGCAACGATGCAATAACGAATCCTTGACTCAAACAATTAACCCTAAATTTGATTTTCCCCAAATCGATTTTTGTTAAATGGTTCGAGAGTTATGTTGTCGTTTTTTTGGACTAAAATTAAAATCATACAACTAACACTGGCCTATTATCTTTTTGGGTTAAAATCACATTTGGACTGACTTATGAAAAGATATGGGCTAAATTAAATCGTCACGATTTTATAATAAAGACCCTTTGTTATATGAGCCCATCAATTTATGAATGTCGTTTCATGTGTGCATACAAACATATTAATAAAATTATTAGATCTCCATACAAATACAACTAGCACTTTTTACACTCTTTTTTACTCTGATCCCAATCCATCGTGGGATAAATTTATGTGAAATGGGAATTAAGAAAGAGGGGTGAGCAATCTAACATTGCTCGGTGTATAACGTTCTATATACATAGATCAATATCATTGATATCACAATATCAATATTAGTACGTACGTCATGAATTAACATCCACATCATAAACGAGATTACGTAATCTAATTTTGCTATAATTTAAGAGTTTATTTTTTATTTTGGAGGGAAGACGCAGCTAAGGCTTTCCAAGAAATTTCGTGTATTTGAGCTCTCTACCTCTTATCCTTTGTCTCTCTATTTCCACTGTCCTTTTCAAGTTTGACAATTAATATTTTTATCTTTTTATTTTCCCAAAACCAAAATACTAAAACTCCAAAACAACACAAAATATAAAATCTAAAAGGGCTCATCCAAAATGATACTACATAATTTATGAATTCTTTTTAAACATAAATTTTGTGGTATTTTTGGAGTTTTTACAAGTATTTATATTTGTAAGAAAAAATAAAAACTTGTGTTTTTAAATCCATCAAAAGGTTTACAACAATTCAGAATTTTTTTTATTTTATAGTTACTTTCCAAGATCATTCCTCTTTGACGTCCCTTTCCTTCCTCTTGTGTGTATATATACATGTAAAAAAGGGGAACTTAAAAAATGACATAAAGTTCCTCAATCTTTGGAGAAAGATGATGATTCTTACAGAAAAAACTAATAATACCTTCCTAAATTACTTTGTCCTGTTCGTTTGGGGTATTTTGTTGATGGAGGTTGGTTTAGGACAAAACCAAATACGTGAAATCAAAGTAGGAGTAGTTCTTGATCTCCAAACCAACTTTTCCAAGATCTGCCTCACTGCCATTAACTTGTCCTTGTCCGATTTCTACAAGAATTATTCTAATTACAGCACAAGACTTGTGCTTCATGTCAGAGATTCCATGGAAGATACTGTTCAAGCTTCAGCCGCAGGTTCGATTCTTCTATCTCTTTAATTTTTTCTCGGTTATAAGGAATTATTAGTACTAGCTAGTGTTGTATTGATAAGTCTGACCAATTTTTTACATGATCTTAACTTAGCTTCTCAGTTTTTTTTAGTTCATTCAAGCAACTATCAACATATAAATTTTACGACTGAAAAGTTTATGAAGTTCAATCCTAGAATTAGAACATCCCGTTAAATCAAAAAGATAAGATATAAAATATTGCTTGGTTGGAAGAGAGATGAATCATTCTGTTGACTATTCAGAATCCAAATACCCTCTTATGTGGTCTGTATTTAGAGCAAGGTATATTGATTAACAAAGACTTTATTTTATTTTTATCATGTAATTCAGATGTTTAAATAGTATACAATTTATATTTTAATTCTGTAAATTAGTCTCACTAATTATACAATTGTTATTTTTTAAAGAAGTGTTATACATTTAACCTTCTCTCTTTTCATTTTGTTTGCTTGTGGTGCAAGCAGCCTTGGACCTAATCAAGAACGAGCAAGTGAGCGCCATCATCGGACCAAGAAACTCTATGCAAGCAGAGTTTATGATCAGACTGGCCAACAAAACTCAAGTACCAACCATCACATTCTCTGCAACAAGTCCTCTTTTAACATCCATCAAAAGTGATTACTTCGTTCGAGCCACTATCGATGACTCATACCAGGTCAAAGCCATTGCAGCCATTTTTGAATCCTTCGGATGGAGAAGTGTCGTCGCAATTTATGTGGACAACGAGTTAGGTGAAGGAATCATGCCTTACTTGTTTGACGCTTTACAAGACGTGCAAGTCGATAGAAGTGTGATCTCCCCGGAGGCTAACAATGATCAAATTGAAAACAAGCTTTATAAGCTCATGACGATGCAGACAAGGGTATTCATTGTCCACATGGCCTCAAGTCTTGGATTCCGAGTTATACAGAAAGCTAGAAAGATCGGGATGATGGAGGAAGGATATGTATGGTTACTGACCAATGGAATGACGAATATGATGAGACATAACGACCATGGTCGTAGCTTGGAGGGTATGCATGGCGTGTTAGGGTTGAGGAGCCATGTCCCAAAAACAAAAGAGCTCAAAGATTTTGGCTTGCGATGGAAGAAAAAGTTCGAAAAGGAGAATCCAATGATGGGGAATGATACAGAGCCAAATGTTTTCGCGCTATGGGCATATGATTCAATCACTGCATTGGCTATGGCTGTTGAGAAAGCAACCACAAAGAGCGTGCGGTATGATAATCCAATCGCATTAGAAAATAGCAGGACAGATTTGGGGACCCTAGGGGTCTCTCGCTACGGTCCAAGTCTTTTAAAGGCTCTCTCGGATATAAGGTTCAATGGTTTAGCTGGAGAGTTTAACCTTATTGACGGGCAGCTTGAGTTATCAAAGTTTGAAATCATCAACTTTGTAAGAAATGAAGAGAGGGTTATCGGATTTTGGACACCGAGCAATGGACTTGTGAATGCAAAATCAAACAAAACAATATTGTTTTCATCAAAGGAGATGTTTGTGTCAGTGATTTGGCCTGGAAATTCGACAGTTGTTCCTAAAGGTTGGGAGATTCCAACGAAAGGGAAGAAACTAAGAGTGGGCGTTCCAGTGAAGAGAGGCTTCTTAAATTTTGTGGACGTAAAAAAATATTCTACCACAAACGCAGTGACCCCGACTGGTTTCTCTATTGACGTCTTCAAAGCTGCCCTTAAAGAGTTGCCTTACTCAGTCATTCCTCAATACTTTGCTTTCGGTTCTCGAGATCAGAGCTATAACACTATGGTCGAACAAGTCTATAATGGGGTTAGTTCTCTCTTTCTTCCCCTATTTCCACTTTAAAATATAAATTAATAACAATTGTTAAAGTGATCTATGTGTTTCTTGTATAACAAGTCTTGTGTAAATTAATAAAGATTTTTTATTTTGTATATATCTATGTGATTTCTAACATGTCATTAATAAATGAGTCAGAGGTACGACGCAGTTGTGGGAGATGTAACCATCATAGCAAATAGGTCATTGTATGTTGATTTCACGTTACCGTATACGGAATCTGGAGTATTTATGTTAGTGCCGATGAAAGACAGTAAGAACAAGAACACATGGGTGTTCCTCAAACCTTGGAGCTTAGACCTATGGGTCACTACTGCTTGCTTTTTTGTCTACATTGGATTTATTGTGTGGATTTTAGAACACAGAGTCAACACCGACTTCCGTGGACCACCTCACCACCAGATCGGCACCAGTTTCTGGTTCTCCTTCTCCACTATGAACTTTGCCCATCGTAAGTTACTTACAACAATCATTAGTCCACTAATAATAAATGTTAAAGTTTATGTAACAGACTCGTTTAAGTTGTTTATATATTAAATGATTAAAAAAAATATTTTCTAACAAATAAACATTATTCTAACGATAAAGTGAGTTTGTGCATGTGTGTATATAGGAGAGAAGGTGGTGAGCAATTTAGCGAGGTTTGTGGTGATTGTGTGGTGCTTTGTGGTGCTTGTGCTCACTCAAAGCTACACAGCGAATCTCACCTCTTTCCTTACAGTACAACGGTTCGAACCAGACGTCATAACTATGAAAGATCTCATAAAAAATGGGGAGAACGTAGGGTACCAACTCGGCTCATTTGTGCATGAACTTTTAAAAAGTCAAGGATTTCTTGAATCTCAGCTCAAGCCTTATAATACTTCTGAGCAATGTGACGAGCTTTTGTCCAATGGGACATCAAAAGGCGGTATTGCAGCAGCTTTCGACGAAGTGGCCTACCTTAAAGTTATCCTTTTTCAGTTTTGCTCTAAATACGCCGTGGTTGAACCTTCTTTTAAGACTGCTGGTTTTGGCTTTGTAAGTTCCTTCTTTTTTCTTTCACAAATTAAATCAGCAAAAAAAGTATGTACCTAGATTATTAATTTCACACATCTTTTTCCTCATTCAACTTTTAATTTTTTTTGCATGATTTTGTAGGTATTCCCAAAGAATTCGCCTTTGACGGGCGATGTCTCAAGGGCGATCTTGAATGTGACTCAAAGCGAAGAAATGAAACAAATCGAAAATAATTGGTTCAGGAATCAGAGTTGTCCTGACACAGACAACACTTTGTCGTCCCACCGTCTCAACCTTAGTAGCTTCTGGGGTCTATTTTTAATAGCAGGCCTTGCTTCATTTCTGGCACTTCTCGTCTTCATAGCCAACTTCTTGTACGAACATAGGCATACGCTACATGAGGAGTCAGAAATTTCCTTTTCCAGAAAACTAACATTTTTGCTTAGAAACTTTGATGAAAAAGACAGAAAATCGCATATGTTCAAGGAGAGGGCAATTCATAATGTGAGTTCACCTATTAGTCAAAGCACTCCAAGACCTTTGACAGTGCAGGTCACACCATGGTCACGAAGTCCGTCGCAAAATATGCTGTTTGAGCCAAGATGTGTTTCTTTCGAAAGCCAAGAGTTTTTCACTCCCTAATTGGAATGTGAAGCTGAATGATAAATAAAAGTTTAAAAGTTATTGTAGCCTTTTGATCCCTTAGCCAGTTTTATTGTCTTATTTTCATCTTTATGTTTGTTTGTCTCTTTCAAATCTATAACCCATAAAACCTATTGCGTGTCTCCTTCCAACGTTTGATTTCACATCTGGCGAGAAAGAAATGAAACTAGAGAAGGTCAAGTAGCTACCCCTTTAGCTTGACTCACCTCATCCATTGACAAGTTCATTCAGGACATCAATCTAATGCATTATACAAGGGAGACCACGGCGTCGATGGACGATGATATGCTAGTTTAATGCCTCCACACAAGAAAATAAATTCTACTTCATCTTTTTTACAATTAATTTGTCTACTCAAAAAAGTTTTCACTTAATTATATATTGTTTTTTTTGTAAAGGATCTTTTCTTGATTATATAAAATTTTCACCACAAAAAGAAAAATATTGTAATTTTTCAAGAAGATTTTTTGTTCTTTTTAAATTTTCTTTTGAGGATTTTCACTATCGGACATCACTCCATTATCAACTTTGACCTTTCCTGTGTATGAAACGGATCTTTCTAGCTGGAAGACGAATTTTAATCTTAGCTTCCCTGAAACAACAACTAAGAAGACTGAAGTTGGAGAGTTTTCAAAGTAAACGTGATAGCCAAAAAAAGAAGAGTGGCAATGGTAGATAATGACAAAAACTAGCTCATATCGTCCATACAATTTTTGTCTGTCTCTTTCAAACCTTAACTTCGTTTGTTTTATTTTTATATTTTTGTTTTTCGTTTTTAAAATTTATATCACTTTCAACCCACTTTTCCCTCTCTCTCTAGCTATGTGTGTATATTATGCAATAGAACAAAAAAAGAGGTTAAAGAATGACATAAAGTTCCTTAATCTTTGGATGAAAACGATGAACCCTAGAAAAAATAATAATACCTTTATGTACTACTTTGTCCTGTTCGTTTGGGGTTTTGTGTTGATGCAGGTTGGTTTAGGACAAAACCAAACAACTGAAATCAAAGTAGGAGTAGTGCTTGATCTCCAAACTTCATTTTCCAAGATCTGCCTCACTTCCATTAACATATCGTTGTCCGATTTCTACAAATATCATGCTGATTACACCACAAGACTTGCAATTCACATCAGAGATTCCATGGAAGATGTTGTCCAGGCCTCATCTGCAGGTTCGTTTCTTCTCTGTCTCTTGCAACTTTATTTGGATTTGTTATTAGTTTTGTTGAATGAAACATACGTTCTACAAGATCTAGTTTTCAACAAATATAACGTTTATGACGGTAACCAATTCCTAATTATTTAATCATCGTTAATGGAATATTGAAACACAACTCAAACAAATTTGTGGTAATTTTTTTGTTTTCACAAATTTGATACGGGTTTGTGAAAGCATATATGGTTTGGTAGAAATTGTTTTACTCGTATTAGTTTGAAGCAATTTTATCACTTAAAATTTTTTTTGGTTCTTTCGACATTTATGAATGACGATAAGGATATTGTTACCGGCGGTTTTGTCCAACAACGGTGGTGGTTATGATATATGTAAACCGGTGCTAATTGGTATATCGACAGTGGCGGATGTTACACGTACATGCATGCTTGGTCTGTTATCATTTTTGGGTCAATGGGTTTTGAAACGAGATGAGATTTATATGAACATGCTTCGTCGGAATATAGTCATATAGATGGTTGACTATTCACAAACCTCTTATGTGGTCTGTATTTATTACTCTTATTCGTCCGAGTAAGACATAATACTTTAATTTTAACTCATGCGTAAACATTATTTGTCTGATAATCAGACTCTGATTCATTCGTTAGTTATAGAAAAGTGTTATATGTAGTGATAAATTTAACCTCTATTATTTTATTATTCTTTGTGTTTGCTTGTGGTGCAAGCAGCCTTGGACCTAATCAAGAATGAGCAAGTGAGCGCCATCATCGGGCCAAGAACCTCTATGCAAGCCGAGTTCATGATCAGACTCGCCGATAAATCTCAAGTACCGACCATCACATTCTCTACAACCAGCCCTCTTATGACATCCATCAACAGCCCTTACTTCGTCCGAACTACTTTCGATGACTCATCCCAGGTCAAAGCCATTGCGGCCATTGTCAAATCCTTCGGGTGGAGAAACGTTGTTGCCATTTATGTGGACAACGAATTCGGAGAAGGAATAATTCCCTACTTAACTGACGCTTTACAAGACGTGCAAGCTCTTGTAGTCAATAGATGTTTGATCCCTCAAGAAGCTAATGATGATCAGATTCTCAAGGAGCTTTATAAGCTTATGACAATGCAGACGAGGGTATTCGTTGTCCACATGCCACCAACTCTCGGATTTCGGCTTTTTCAGAAAGCTAGAGAGATTGGTATGATGAAGGAAGGATATGCATGGTTATTGACAGATGGAGTGATGAATTTGGTGAAATCTAATGAACGCGGTAGCAGCTTGGAGAATATGCAAGGGGTGTTGGGTGTAAGGAGCCATATCCCCAAATCGAAGGAGCGAGAAGATTTCAGATTGAGATGGAAGAAAAGGTTTGATAAGAAGGGGAATGATGAAGAGCTGAACATTTTTGCATTAAGGGCATATGATTCGATCACTGCTTTGGCCATGGCCGTAGAGAAAACCAGTATAAAGAGCTTGCGGTATGAGCATCCGATCGCTTCTAGAAATAATAAGACAGATCTAGCGACCTTCGGGGTCTCTCGCTACGGTCCAAGTCTTCTAAAGGCTCTTTCGAATGTAAGATTCAAAGGTTTAGCCGGAGATTTTGAACTCATTAACGGGCAGCTCAAATCATCAGTGTTTGAGGTCATCAATATCATTGGAAATGAAGAGAGAATTATCGGATTCTGGAGACCAAGCAATGGACTTGTGAATGCAAAGTCAAAAAACACTAGGTCGTTTTCAGGGGAGAGGTTTGGGCCGGTGATATGGCCCGGTAAGTCGAGAGTTATTCCGAAAGGTTGGGAGATTCCAACAAACGGGAAGATGCTTAGAGTGGGCATTCCAGTGAAGAAAGGCTTCTTAAATTTTGTGGATGCAAAGACAGATCCAATCAGTAACGCAATGACCCCAACGGGTTACTGCATTGACGTCTTCGAAGCTGTTCTTAAAAAGTTGCCTTACTCAGTCATTCCTAAATATATTGCTTTCTTGTCTCCAGATGAGAACTACGACGAAATGGTATACCAAGTCTACAACGGGGTTAGTTCTCTTTCTCTTCCCCTATTTCTACTATGGTTCTTTTACTTTCAACTTAACATTAATTAACAATTCGTAGAGTAATTTATGTGGACTATATAGTGGATTATGTCTTTGTTTTTTCCTTTGATGTGTGATTTCTAACATATCGTTTATAAACGGATCAGACGTACGATGCAGTTGTAGGAGATGTAACCATCAGAGCGAACAGGTCATTGTATGTCGATTTCACGCTACCGTACTCAGAGTCTGGAGTGTCTATGATGGTCCCTCTCAAAGACAACAAGAACAAGAATACATGGGTGTTCCTCAAACCTTGGAGCTTAGACCTATGGGTCACCACCGCTTGCTTTTTCGTATTCATTGGGTTTGTTGTGTGGATTTTAGAACACAGAGTCAACACCGACTTTCGTGGACCGCCTCACCATCAGATAGGCACCAGTTTCTGGTTTGCTTTCTCCACTATGAACTTTGCCCACCGTAAGTAACACCAATCAAGAACAAAGTTGGAATAACCTAGTCGTATTTGCTCGAGTCGTAAATTATCAGTCGTTGTGGGATAACACTAGGAAACGAGTCCCATCATCAAGAAACATCATTAAACTTCGCCCTTGGTTACTATAGAAACTTTTAACTGGCAACAATATCCATCTTTATATCAATATTATCTTGTTTCTTATTTTCGACATGCCTCGGGAAATAGTATTGGTTTCTCCTTAGAATTTGGTCCCAAAATAAAAAATTGGTAGATGATGAAAGTAGTCTAAATACGATCCTTATATAGTATATTGATATACAATAACTTGTTCGTGTGTATAGGTGAGAAGGTGGTGAGCAACTTAGCGAGGTTTGTGGTGTTGGTGTGGTGCTTCGTGGTGCTTGTGCTTATTCAGAGCTATACAGCGAATCTCACCTCTTTCCTCACAGTACAACGGTTCCAACCAGCGGTCACAAATTGGAAAGATCTCATAAAAAATAACAAATATATTGGGTACCAACAAGGCACTTTCGTGCGTGAACTTTTGATAAGTCAAGGATTTCATGAGTCACACCTCAAACCTTTTGGTTCTGCCGAAGAATGTGACGAGCTTTTTTCCAATGGGACAATCACAGCATCTTTCGACGAAGTGGCCTACATTAAAGTTATCCTTTCTGAGAACTGCTCCAAATATGCCATGGTTGAACCTTCCTTTAAGACTGCTGGTTTCGGCTTTGTAAGTTCTTTTACCTTACACTTTTACAAAAAAAACAAAAAGATGTACATATTTAAAGTATTTAGGTATTTTCATTGCTTTAATTTTCTGCTTCCATGATCAATGTGTAGGCATTCCCCAAGAATTCACCTTTGACAGATGATGTCTCAAGGGCCATCTTGAATGTGACTCAAGGCGAAGAAATGCAACATATTGAGAATAAATGGTTCAAGAAACAAAGTAATTGTCCTGATCTAAACACTACTCTTTCGTCCAATCATCTCAGCCTTAGTAGCTTCTGGGGTCTGTTTCTAATAGCAGGCATCGCTTCATTCTTGGCACTTCTCATCTTCGTGGCCAACTTCTTGTACGAACACAAGCAAACACTCTTTGATGACTCCGAAAATTCCTTCCGTGGAAAGCTAAATTTTTTGGTTAGAATCTTTGATGAGAAAGACATAAAGTCGCATATGTTCAAGGAGAGTGCCGTTCATAATGTGAGTTCACCTATTACTCAAGGAAGTTCAAGCCCTTTGACCGATCATAGCACTCCATTGCCACTAAGTCCGGCACAAAATAGGGATCAGTTTGAGCCAAGAAGAGTGTCTTCCATCTCGAGCGGAGATCTTTTCACGGAACAAGTTGAAGATGAGGAATCTGCTATTATTCAATGTTAAGGTGAATGATAGAGAGAAGTTGCAAAAGTGCATAACAAGTTAGCCAGTGTGGTTTTAGGGTGTAGAAACAGTAGTATTTTCTTTTGTAAACATCTTGTATTCCTATGTTTGTTTTCAAACTTAGTGTCAAAGTTAGATTTCTGAATTTGGATTATAATATTCTTCCATTTAGAATTATATAAAAATTAGGGAGAAATAAACTTAACACAAACTTTTATAATCTGCAAAATGACACACAAAAAAATAATCTTTTGAGATGGATATGTCTTTTTCAGTGTTTTGGAAGAAGAAAAAAATGTTGACAAAACTAACATATGTTTTGGATTTGCCCACATTATACGTCTTCATGTCTGATTCTCAGAGACGTGTAAGAAAATTTAAATGTGGTCCTCCAACAGCCAATACATTGTGTTTGATGAGATATGGCATACCCAAAAACGCGTTGAACAAACTAAATTTTGGTTTTAGTACAAATGTCCTAAACATTTTATAGGTTTTAGTACAAATGTCCTAAATTTTGGTTTTAGTACAAATGTCCTAACAATATTTTTCTTTTTGTGGTGAAAATTTTATATAATCAATATTTTTGTAGGTTTGCTTTGCCAAGAAATTTCTTTGGCAATGTCACATCTGACTCTTTCAAACCATTTTTTTATAATCCTTTCTAGTCAACACTGATATTTATTATCTTATGACTCTTTCATTGAGAACCAATTTTGGTGTAGCATTTCAAATTAAAGTCTTCCAAGACCTTTTCAAACCGATTTCTTTACTCTGTATATATAACAGAAAAATGGATGTCGAATATCACATAAATTGTCTGTCTCCTCTATCTTTTCATAATGATGAACCCTACAAAAACCAATAACACCTTTCTGTGTTACTGTGTTTGGTTCTTTTTGTTGCTAGAGGTTGGTTTAGGACAAAACCAAATAAGTGAAATCAAAGTAGGAGTAGTTCTTGATCTCAATACAACATTTTCCAAGATCTGCCTCACTTCTATGAACATGGCGTTGTCTGATTTCTATAAAGACCATCCTAATTACCGCACAAGACTTGCGCTTCACGTCAGAGATTCCATGAAAGACACTGTTCAGGCTTCAGCTGCAGGTTTGTTAATTACTTTTCTGTCTTTTGCTTCTCCGCAACTTCTAAGGGAATCATTTAGATTTATTAATTATCATTTTCATGACTCGGATAAAATATATTACGTAGGAACGTCTTTGGTAAGAGCAATCTATTCATTTTCTTTATTTTCTAGAAAGTCTTAGCGACGATCATTGTATGGTCGCAAGAAATCACTATTCCTAGTAGTCTCTTTAAAATATTTAATTCATGACTTCTAGTCTAGTATATTAGATGAATAGTCAAAGACTTGGTAAATGTCATGTGATACCTTTACGTATAATAAAGATTTTAACTCGTGTGTAAATTATTATTGTCTCATTAATTTTCATCAAGTCTTAAACTACTGCTGTTACATTTTGTGAAATTCTAAACTTTTTTTTTTTGTGTTTGCTTGTGGTGCAAGCAGCCTTGGACCTAATCAAGAACGAGCAAGTGAGCGCCATCATAGGACCAAGAAACTCTATGCAAGCAGAGTTTATGATCAGACTGGCCAACAAAACTCAAGTACCAACCATCACATTCTCTGCAACAAGTCCTCTTTTAACATCCATCAAAAGTGATTACTTCGTTCGAGCCACTATCGATGACTCATACCAGGTCAAAGCCATTGCAGCCATTTTTGAATCCTTCGGATGGAGAAGTGTCGTCGCAATTTATGTGGACAACGAGTTAGGTGAAGGAATCATGCCTTACTTGTTTGACGCTTTACAAGACGTGCAAGTCGATAGAAGTGTGATCTCCCCGGAGGCTAACGATGACCAGATTCTAAAAGAACTTTATAAGCTCATGACGAGGCAGACTAGGGTTTTCGTTGTCCACATGGCCTCACGTCTTGCTTCAAGGATTTTTGAGAAAGCTAGAGAGATCGGGATGATGGAGGAAGGGTATGTATGGTTAATGACCAATGGAATGTCGCATATGATGAGACATATCAACCATGGTCGTAGCTTAAATACTATAGAGGGCGTGATAGGTGTGAGGAGCCATGTCCCCAAATCGAAAGAGCTCGAAGATTTCCGTTTGAGATGGAAAAGAAAGTTCGAGAAGGAGAATCCGTCGATAAGGGCGGATCTAAACGTTTTCGGATTACGGGCTTTTGATTCAGCAACTGCATTGGCCATGGCCGTGGAGAAAACCAACATAAGAAGCTTTCCGTACGATAATACAAGTGGCTCGTCAAATAACATGACAGATTTGGGGAACCTAGGGGTCTCTCGCTTCGGTAGAAGTCTTGTAAATGCTCTCTCGGAAATAAGATTCAATGGTTTGGCAGGAGAGTTTAAACTCATAGACAGGCAGCTCGAGTCACCAAAGTTTGAGATCATAAATTTTGTAGGAAATGAAGAGAGGATTATTGGATTTTGGACACCGAGCAATGGACTTGTGAATGCAAATTCAAACAAAACAACTTCATTTACAGGGGAGAGGTTTGGTCCGTTGATATGGCCAGGGAAGTCGACTATTGTTCCTAAAGGATGGGAGATTCCAACTAATGGTAAGAAGATTAAAGTGGGCGTTCCAGTAAAGAAAGGCTTCTTCAATTTTGTGGAGGTAATCACAGATCCTATCACTAACATAACAACTCCAAAGGGTTACGCCATAGACATCTTTGAAGCTGCTCTTAAGAAGTTGCCATATTCAGTCATTCCACAATACTACCGTTTCGAGTCTCCCGATGATCACTACGATGACTTGGTCTACAAGCTCGACAACGGGGTTAGTTCTTTTTTTTTTCTTAAACAAAAATCTAAAAGTTCATGCAATTCCATGTAAAAGCAGTTAGTAATGAGTAGACTAAACTATGTCTATAGATTATGTCCTTTTTTATATATATAAGAGATCTCTAACATATTAGTATAAATGAAACAGACTTTGGATGCAGTTGTTGGAGATGTAACTATCACAGCGTACAGGTCTTTGTATGCTGACTTCACGTTACCGTACACAGAGTCAGGAGTGTCTATGATGGTGCCGGTGAGAGACAATGAGAATAAGAACACTTGGGTGTTCCTCAAACCTTGGACCTTAGAATTATGGGTCACAACTGGTTGTTTCTTCGTCCTCATTGGTTTTGTTGTGTGGTTGTTCGAACATAGAGTCAACACAGACTTCCGTGGACCGCCTCACCACCAGATAGGCACTAGTTTTTGGTTCTCTTTCTCCACCATGGTTTTTGCCCACCGTAAGTTCTTACACCAGTAATGATAAATGTTAAAAAAATTCTTGGTTTTTATTTCAAAACCAATTTTCTGTAAATGAGACTATTGTTACGTAGTTTAGATATTAAATGTCGACTTATTTTCAATGTGATAGTTTTTTTATTTAACAAGAATCAAGATTCTAATGATGAAGTAATTTGTGCGTGTGTAATATAGGTGAGAAGGTAGTGAGCAACTTAGCAAGGTTTGTGGTGGTTGTGTGGTGCTTTGTGGTGCTTGTGCTCACTCAGAGCTACACAGCAAATCTCACCTCTTTCTTGACGGTACAACGTTTCCAACCAGGGGCCACAACTATGAAAGATCTCATAAAAAATGGGGACTATGTAGGCTACCAACACGGGGCTTTCGTTAAAGATATTCTAAGAAATGAGGGATTTAATGATTCTCAGCTCAAGCCTTTTGGTTCTTCCGAAGAATGCGACGCGCTTTTGGCCAATGGCAGTATTTCAGCAGCTTTCGACGAAGTTGCCTACCTTAAGGCTATCCTTTCTCAATACTGCTCCAAATATGCCATGGTTGAACCTACATTTAAGACTGCTGGTTTTGGCTTTGTAAGTTTAATTCTTCTTTTTCTTATCAAAATTACAAAATAGGAAAAACAAAACACAGTTCGAGTATTCCGGTGTTTTCATTGCTTGTTTCCTTGATCAATGTGTAGGCATTCCCCAAGAATTCTCCTTTGACAGGAGATGTCTCAAGGGCTATCTTAAATGTGACTCAAGGAGATGAAATGCGACACATCGAGAACAAATGGTTCATGAAACAGAATGATTGTCCTGATCCAAAGACCGCTCTTTCGTCTAACCGTCTAAGCCTTAGTAGCTTTTGGGGTCTATTTCTAATAGCAGGCATTGCTTCATTCTTGGCACTACTCATCTTCGTGTCCCTTTTCTTGTACGAAAATAGGCATACATTATGTGAGGATTCTGAAGATTCGATATGGGGTAAGCTAACGTCTTTATTCAGAAACTTCGATGAGAAAGACATAAAGTCGCATACTTTCAAGACCAGCGCTGTTCATAATGTGAGTTCACCTATGACTCACTACACCCCGAGCCCTTCAACTGTGCAAATCGGACCATGGCCACAAAGCCCATCACAAAACAGAGGGTTTGAACTAAGAAGAGTGTCTTTTACCCCGAACGAAGAACGCTTAACTACGCAAACTATGCATCATGGAGATGAAGAATCTGATATTGGATGTGGAGTTGAACAATACAGAGAAGTTTAGAAAACTCCATTTAACAAGTTATAGATAAGCTAGGTTCGCTGCATATTTTCCCATCAAAGTTATTATTCTTTTATTTATAACAAAGTTTATATTTATAGGATTGCATGGCAAATAGTATTACAGGGTCCATAAAGAAGCCCAAGATAGAGTCTCATGAGAAGTGGACAAGCTCATATAATTAGGTTAATTAAGAAAGTGTCTTTTATATATTCACTAGATAAGGACCCGTCCAATGGACGGGTTTAATTTTTAAAAAGTTAAAATCAAATTTAACAAAAATTAATTAACAATATTTTAAGAGAAATGGTCTTCAATAGCCCTAAATGAAGTTTTTGTGACAAAAATAGCATCTCTTAGTTTATTTGACAAAAATAACACTCTTTTTAAAAATTTAATAAATTTAATAAACAAAAAGGAAAAGAAAGCATTTCACGATCCACGATAAGGCGACGGAGACGATTTCACGTGATAGCTGCCGGCGACGGAGAGAGCTGCCGGCGACGGAGAGATCTGCCGGCGACGAAGAGATCTGCCGGCGACGGAGAAATCTTCACCTATTTTCGATCTTCAAACTGGTATAAATCGATCTCTTTCACCAATTTTTTCTTCTTCTTCTTCCCCAATCGTGTTGACGAAATTAAGCGTTTATTGTTGAATTATGGCTTTCTATTGTGGAATTAGGCAAATTGTAGGTGCGTTCATTGATTCAGCACAAAGAATTCTGATGTGTCATTGTTCATCTCTTACCTTTTTCATTGTTGGGCTTTATTGCATTAGAAATCTTAAGTAGATGAGACTTGTAATTGGAAACTATTGATAAGTAGATGCTTTACGAATTCTGAACAAAGAGAGAGTGGTTTTGGTATCTATAGATGGTTTACATATGATATAAGGTAGATGATATAAACATATGATATATGATTCAGTCAAAGAAGCTTACGCTCGTGCTAAATCGGCGAAATCTCCGACGAATCCACAAGCTTTGTTTATTGAGGAAAGATCATGTGTTTGGAGCTATGTCGATCTAAGATTGTAACGGATTTGTATCTCGTGATCTCTAGTCCTGTCCTTGTTTTTGTTTATATGGTTTCTGGAGTTGATTAAATCTTGTTGGTGAATTAAAGTTTAGATGATGAAGACGAAGTTTGCATCTGCGAGGAACTTGACGATTTGGTACTTGGAGAACTTGAGGTAAGCAACCAAAACTTCTTATCTCCATGCATTACCATTAATCTTATAAGTTAGGATCTATGTGACATTTATGCAGGCTGAAGAAGGCACTAGAATGGACATCTCAGTTTCTGTGCCACCAAGTGATACATGTTCAACGCCTGAAAAAAGACAGGGCAATTATTCATTATTTTGTCTCCTGCTCGAGATTCTGCTGTGATTCCTGTAGAAAGTTCACATTCAACGGCTGCACATGAAAATCAGAAGGTAAAATCTCAATTTCATAGGTTTAAGAAGGATACATTTAATTTTAGGATGACCTTCCTAAATAATGCAATATACAGATATGATCCGAACTAGTCGTCTTTTTTTTTTCAATTTGAACTGTTTATTCATATGCCTATCTATATTTGGGTTTGTAGAACCTCATCCTTCAGTTGGAACTTCTTCTATCTCTGCTGCACATGAAAACCAGAAGGTAAAAACTCAATTTCATAGGTTTTAGGAAGGATACATTTAGGTTTAGGATGACCTTCCTAAATACTGCAATATACATATATGATCAGTTTCTAGTCGTTTTTTTTTAAATTTTAACTCTTTTTCATATGCCTATCTATTTTTGTGTTTGTAGGAACCTCATCTTTCAGTTGGAACTTCTTTTATCTCTGCTGCATATGAAAACCAGAAGGTAAAAACTCAATTTCATAGGTTTTAGGAAGGATACATTTAGTTTTAGGATGACCTTCCTAAATACTGCAATATACAGATATGATCCGTTTCTAGTCGTCCTTTTTTCAATTTTAACTCTTTGTTCATATGCCTATCTATTTTTGTGTTTGTAGGAACCTCATCCATCAGTCGGAATTTCTTCCATCTCTGTAACATATAGTGATACATGTTCAACGGCTGAAAAGGGAATAGGCAATAAGTCATTGGATTTGCTTCCTGCTCCAGATCGTAGTCCGATTCCTATAGGCGGTGTACATTCAACACAGGTGCTGATGATATATATGTTAATAAATATTTCATGAACAAGGCTGAGTTAATGCAGAAGATAAGGACATGGGAGTTGGAGTATAAGTTTGAGCTTAGGTATTGATGGTCTAACAAAGAGAGAGTGGTTTTGGTATCTGTAGATGATAAATGTACTTGGAGGATGCGTGCAATGAGGGTAGACTCTTCTGATTTCTTTGTGGTGAAAAGTATTGTCATGAGCACACATGTGACACTACACACAGAAATGAAAATCATAGGCAAGCTACTGCGAAGTTATAAAATCTCTTTTTATGTCATGATGTGTTTCTTGTTTCATAGAAATATATATGTTCGTTTGTATAAGATCTTATAATTAGAAGCTTGGCTCACTGGTTACATGTTCTATTACAAAAACAATAGGTCCCGGTTTTGAATCTTGGTGGAAGTAACTATTACAGCTTTTTTTTTTAGGGAAGGCCTTCCTGAATATGTATATATCCTTCCTGAATATTTGGAAATCCTTCCTGAATTTCAAAAATTGTTTACTTTTGCATAATTTGCCTCAAATCTTTCACAAATTGCACAGTTAAGATGCAAATGATATGCTGAGAGCATACAACTGAGTGGATAATCTGTACGAAACATATGGTATCTGACAAAATACCATACATTGAATATCTAAAAAAAAAACATAAATAGAAACAGATGATACTTTTCTAGTTCAGAACCATCATAGAAGTACCAAAACAGTCTAAAACGGTTTCACAAGCATCATACATCCAATAAAGAAACATAGTCCTAAGAAATCTTAACACACTCATTGAAGATATCCACAGCCAACTTGTTTCTGATGTCTTCTGAATCTATATCACGCAGCTTGGAGAAATCTTCAATACGCATCTTCTCTGAAACTCTGAAACTCTGTAGCAGAGAAGATGCGTTGTACTTTATCGATATACTCATATCTTGCACATTGATTTATCCCATCATTTGAATTTGGCTCCTGTCCTATATTGTACAGAAGCGTTGGCAGTTTGACATCTGTTGGAAACGAATCTCCCATTTTCCTGCAACTAAAATTAAAGGAAATCAGTAAACAGAAATATTCAGGAAGACCTTCCCGAATTACTATAAGTCCTTCCCGAATTAAGAAGACCTTCCCGAATCAGGAAGACCATTCTAGAATGCAAACTAAAACAACTCTATCAAGCAAAGAGAACAGACAATAACACTACAGAAACAAGTAAAGAATGTTTATTCATATCTTCATATCACAAACTTGAATCTATAACTATGTGACGATATATCTCTCAAATTGTGACAAAAACTAAACTCATCTAAAGTGATAAACTAATCTTATACTGTCTTAGTCTTAAACAGACTTAGTCTTAAATTGTATTAGTCTTAAACAGAACAGTCTTAGTCTTAAACTGTCTTAGCTTGTAATGTATCAGTCCAATAGATCACAAAAATCTTCAAGAGATCATCTTGAATGCAACAAAATCTATAAACAACACATGCGTCAAAAACTCAAAGCATTCTGCTGACATTAGATTCATTCAAAAAAAAAGAGCACTACATTCAAAGCTAACCCAGAATCAAATCATTCATAAACGAGATAAAGATTCCAAATTTAACAAGACACAGCTAAATCGGGTTAACAAGAGTAACAATTCGCAGAAATCCATTACTTTGAAGCTCTTCAGGATCTGATAAAAACAAGACAAGGAGGATAGAGATGTACCTTCAAAGCCTTGAGCTTGATGTTGCGATAGATGAGACCCAACCCAAAAGCCGAAGCACGAGCAACCTAAATCGATACAAAAAAAAAAGACAAGTCAAGGATACGGATCGAGAAATTGATCGGGGGAGAGAGAGAGATAGTTTAGTTTACCAGAGCAAGAGTACTAGTGCCGGAGTAAAGAGGATTCCGGCAGAGACGTTCCAGATTCCGGCGGAGGCGCCTAATGAATCCAATTTTCCTGCACAATCGGCGTCGGAGGAGATAACGCCTAATGAATCCGACGAATACTGCGGATCTCCGGAAAAGTCTTCGAATCTCCGGTGAAGAAATCAGATCCGGTGAGCGACGGAGTCGTCGAAAGCGACAGGTTTTTGGAAGTCGTCGGGTTTGTTGGAAGCGAAGCCGTCGGGTTTGGAAGAAATGAAATTAGGTAGGTTTGTGTATTTTCTAAACTTTGTGTGCTATTTTTGGAAGTTTCAAAAGAAAGTGCCATTTTTGGAATAGTAAACATTTTTAGTGCCATTTGTGTAAATTGCCCATATTTTAAGTAGAAATTATCTTTCAAAAATAAAAAAATATATATATTTATTTTCACTATTGCATTGTTTTTTTAACCACTAAAATTATTGATTCAAAAATTATTTCGAATGAAAAATATTTCACATAGCAATAACTCATGGTATACTTATATGAAAAACTAAAATTAAAAATATTCATCATAAAGTTGGCGAATGAAAGCAAAGTTGTTTTTAATTAGACACTTTAAAAATATAAAGATGATAAATAGACTAAATCCCTTCTCATTCCAAGCTAACGTTGCGGGTTCGATTCCTATATACTCGATTGCAATGACTTTATGATCAATCAATAAAAATTGATAAATTCAAAAAATTATAAGCACGACGATATATAAATCTTATATAATTCAAATATGAAAATAGAAATTTAAATATACAATTTAAAATATAATTAAATTCAAAATATAAAAAAATAGAAGAAGCATATATGATTTTTTTACCTATTCAAGACTTTCAAATAAACAATATAAAACTTTATTTAAAATCATCAAATATTTCTAATTAGAAAATAAAATTGATATAAAAAATGTAAATTTGTAATTTAAATCATGACACATGTCGCTATCTAAAATCATTAGAACTATGATATATGATAAATTTCCTTATTATTATCTTTTGACATTTTTTAAATTGTTTTTTGAAATATTGATTACTTACAATTATCATTATAATTATCTTTTACATTTTTAAAATTGTTTAAATTTATAACTACTTACAATTACGTACCTTTTTATATTTTAATAAGAAATTTTTTGTTTTACATGTGTCAAAATCTAAGATCGATAGATTTGCTACGTGTCATGATCCTATGAGTTACTAACTTTTAAAACCATACTTTATATAATAAGATGTAATGAGAACAATGTGAATAACTTAGAGAGTTGCCACATCGACCAACTCACCTCTTTCCTATTTTATGATATCAAATCTAAAGTGATTGTGTTTTTGGTGACAACTTAAGATCATCTACTTTACTTTTACTTGCACAAAATAAAGCTTTAATAAGCTATTGCATTTTCATTCTCTTTTATCTCTTTTAGTAAGCTCTACAAAAGCTAGAATAGGCTTGTTTTGAGATTGCTTTCAAATAGCAACGCTAAAAACTTCATATATATGTACATAGTGGCAAGTGGAAGTTCCTAGTTCCAAATAAACAAAGATTTCCATCTGCATCTATTCCCAACCATGTTCGCGAAAGAAGGTTCTGGTCCTCCATGATCCATCCACCATGCGTGATTCTTACATCTGATTAAAGGATTTAGTCTCAATAAATATTCTTCTAAGTTCACAAACCACAATCTAATAGTTATCATTTATAGCACTTAAAGGTCAAATTTGCAGGGAAATAGAGATCTAAGACATGAGGAATGCACAAAATTTCCTTAGCTAAGGAAATTTAGGATTTGTACTTAGGTACACATCTTTATACTAATAATATTATGGACATACTTAATGAAAATAAACCTTGCCCCTCATCAAATATTACGTGACAATGCCATTGGAAATAAATTAGAACGACAAATTTAATTTATCTCATTAAGGGTTATAAAGTCAATTTACTTTTGACTCTATTTATGCTAATTGCAAATGATGGATCTAAGATACGAGTCTATTGAAATTTCTTTCCTCTAATCGAATTAATACTTTTCTTCTAAACGTCATACACATGATCTAAAATAGCAATATTACTTATCTTTAAATCTAAGATTTTCGTATTTTTCAATTGAATGTACCACTATATTTCTATTTGCATGCTAATTGCAGGTGATGGATCTAAGATACGGGTCTACTAATATTTCTTTCCTCTAATCGAATTAATAACTTTCTTCTAAACGTCATTCAAAACATCTAAAATAGCAATATCACTTATCTTTAAATCTAAGATTTTTCTGTTTTTTCAATTGAATATACCACTATATTTCTATTTGCAAAAAATCCTGCCAAATCTCTATGTTACCAATATCAGTTTTTAAAAATCTAATATTTTTCTTTTATCAATAGATTTGCTCAATCTATGAAGAAAAAATTATAAATGGTCAAAAATTCAGACTTGAGTAATATATTTTTTGAAAAAAAATAAATTCAACAAAAAATCCGACTAAGTAACAGATCTGAATTTAAATAATTATATTCAATTTCATATGGATTACATACGGGTTGAATTTGATATTATTATATACCAAAAATATGTTCATAATATATTCAATTATGCGAATAATTGTTAAACTCCGTAATTAGCTCAAACAAATCTCCATTTCAACAACCAAAGAAGTACAAATTAAGAAAGGAACATCCTAAATTACTCAAAATAATAGCTAACTTCTTTAATTAGTTCAAAATAATATACATTTTAGATATGGTTTATTTATGATATTTCGATTTTTGATGAACCAAATTATATGCTATCTCATTTTGTGGTTGTTAACATAAAAAATTTATTGTTTAAACGATATTAGTTTTTTAAAATAATATTAATTTCCGTTTTCATATCTTAAGAAAAAATATCCAAAAATGAGTATTTTATAATAAAAAAATATATTCATCTCTAATATCAAAAATTTATCTTAAAATATATAATATATAAAATTTTGTAGTAAATAAAATGTAATATGTGCTATAGTACGGTCATGATCTAGTAGGTATGTAAAAGCAAACCCTGCCTTCAATGAAGTGGTTGTCCTTTAGCAAACCCTCTCTTTGAACTAGAGACTACTTTCGCTTGTAACCCAAGCTAAACAACTCAACGTCCTCCAATTATCCTTAATGATTTAAATCGAACCAAATGCATTTCAATTGAATCAATTCTTCAAAACAACCGAATTTTAGAAAATTCAGAATATTGTATATCAACCCTAAAAAATTGTTTATGTCGTCCTCACCTACGTACATATAGATTCTTCGGTTTTATCCAAAATCATATGTGCAGTAATAATTTTGGATTAATGTATTTTTCATTGTTTTGGAAAAAGTAATGTTGACAAAACTAATCTTTG